AATGGTAGCTCAACGAGAGGAGAAACCTCAGTGGCGGCAAAAAGGAACCGAGGTAATTACCAGGACGGGCGGACCATGTGGGCTGGGGGGGCGGTCCTTGACTAACGTATCATAAAGCTCTAGAATATTCCGGAGACCTCTGCGCAGGCGCAGATTAAACCCATTAGTGTGCATTCACAGAGACCACGAAGAAGAACTATGGAATATTTTATCTTCTGTCAATATAAATTTCAAAGAACTGTTCTTTGTACATCATGCACTGGATCCCCAAATTTGTTAAAATTAAATATTTCCTCTGTCAGTTCAACAAAGGTGTGTTCCACATTTGGGACCCTTGCTCTTTCTACCCTTACCTGACTAAATAATATCACACACTATATTTTGGCTAGAATGTCCTCTTTTAGTTACATTACCCCACCACACTCCGGTTTATTTTCAAATCCCTTCTCAAGTCAGTCTTCCAAAACTTTCTTGACTGACTTTGTACTCACCTGTACCTGCTGTTACCTAATGTCTTTCTACTCTATACATCATCAACCTAATCAATTATTCCTAAAGTGTTCACTGCATAAAGTGTTTTCATGTGTAATTCAATGACCTTATGTCTTCTCTACAGGTACCAGGCCATGTGGGAAAGGATCTGTATCATTCAACTGTACCTAGCCACCTGATAAGAACATTTTAAAAACTATTGTGTTATATATGTAAACAGTATATCCCAAGGCTAAAGTAAGAGATACTAGCAATGCCGAAAGTAGGTGAACAAACTATTATATCTAAAGAAATTAAAAGCTTTTAATACATTTTTATCTGGTATGGAAGAATCTGAATGTTTGCATCTGTGCCTTTTTCCTTTTGGCTTTACTTTTTCTGATCTGCCAAAAACTTATCAAAGCAATAAATGAATATGGCAGCATTTCTAAGGATGCTTTGGTGCAAATTCAATTCTAGATACACAATTTTCATTATTTTATGGGACAGCAGATGTCAGTCTGGGGTGCCTGTCTTAAAGACCTGAAAGCCAGAAATCTAGTTTCTCTCTCAGTTGTTGTTCATAAGGCAAAGCTGCAGATGTTGTTTGTTGTTTTGACTTATATACTGCCCCCACAGTACTAGAGCACTCTCTGTGTGGTCAACAATTATGCAAACATCAACTTGCCCCCACACCCCAAAAGTTGGGTACTCATTTTACTAACCTCAAAAAGATGGAAAGGTGAGTTGATTTTGTTTCGGCTACCGGAACCCATCAGGATCGAACTCAGGTCATGAGCACAGGCTTGACTGGTACTTTCAACTCCCATCAGCCTTTGATCTCAACAGTCTCTGGCTAGGAATTTTGGGAACTGACATTCAGCATAACTGAACACCTATCTTCCACCCAACTTTGCTCAATGGGGCAATATATTAAATAATCACTGGGCAGAATAAAGAATATTTTTTCTTTTTGTTGAACTAAAAGGCCATCATGCCTGTGCTGCTGGATATTCTTTACCCATTAGAAATCTATGCAATGAGGTATGTGTTTCTGTATATGCTCTATCTCAGAGGTCCCCAATCCCCGGTCTGTGGCACGGTGCCAGTCTGTGTCCTGAGCTGGACCGGGCCGCAGAGAGAGACACCCCCCCCGCACAGCCTGTTTTCACCCGCACAAACGCTGTGCTTTCCTTTGTGCCCACACACCCTTTGCACATGTGCATGAGCGCAGGGTGTGCCCCACCTTCCCCAGCCAGTCCGCAGGACTAAAAAGGTTGGGGACCACTGCTCTATCTTACTGAGGATGTACATTTGCTGCTTGTAAAATAATTCTGGACCTAGATTCATACCAAGTAATCATACCAGGCTTTTAAGCAAGACAATCCTAGATGTAGTAAGTTGTTTTCTTGTTGCTCTGATCAGAGAAGAAGTTTGAAAGCTGTTATAGTGGTCTAGATCAGTATTTCCCTCCTCTGCTGTTGTTCATACAGCTTCTTTACTGGTTTGCCTGACCACTCTGTAGTTTCTTCCTTTGCTAGAGAACACTGGTGATGCATAGGCCAAAACTTACTTAATGTTCCTTGAAGTGTTAAGGAAGTATGTCACAAGTGGTGAACAATGTACCATTGTTAATTGATTACTTTGTGATGTATAGCTTCAAGCATTCTGAAAGTGGAGAGGAGGATGAAAAAAAGGTTCCTCACCAAGCTCAGTCCTCTTTGGAGGGGCAAGATGATCTGTTTCTCCAGGAAGATGCCAGGGCAGAAAAGATAAAATTACTGTCCAACTGGCAGGAGCCTCTCAGAAGAGCAGAGGCCAGTTCTACCAGGGAGGACTCAGAGGATGAACCGAACATGGCAGATATGTTGGCTATTTGCCCCAAATAGTTACATTGGCTTCAGCTTTTACAGCAGAAAGAGAAATGGTGTTTTCAAAGGCAAACACTCAATGGATCACTAAGTCCTGTGCTTATTTGACTTTGACTAATCTGGAGACTGGGACGGGCCTAAAAAGAACTATAAACACTGCTCTTTTAGTCGATCCCAGTCCCTGTGACAATACTATTATCGGACCCACATCTGACACCACTTGTTTGTCTAGATTACTTAGAACTCCTTCTGACCCAGATTTAAGCTACAACCATGCTTCTGTTTGTTCTGCTTTACTGGTGAATGGTTTATTGGACTGAACTCTTGGCTTGAACCTTGGAATCCGGAGAACAGCTCAGGACTTGGAATAAGAGTGGTCTTAATAATGCAACCTCTCAAACTTGCTGTCTGCCAACATTACAGTGTGGCTCATTGTGGAAAATCATCCTTGAGCAAATACCCTTACAGCAGATGTGAGGACAGAAGTACATTCTGGTTTGTTTTCAGCATCTCTTATAGGATCTGATTTTCCAGAGGGTCAGATAACTCCTGTTATGTGCCATCAGGTCACTTGCGGCTTATGACAACCCTATGAATGAGCAATCTCCAAAATATTCTGTCTTCAACAGCCCTGCTCAGCTCTTATAAATGCAAGGCTATGGCTTCCTTTAGAGTTAATCCATATATTCTATCTTCCTCTTTTCCTTCTGCCTTCAACCTTTCCAAGCATTATTGTCTTTTACAGAGAATTTTGCCTTGTCATGACGGTGCATTCATTTTTTTAAAATTGAAGAATGATAAGAGAACTGAATATGCCTTTAAAGATGGAATGGAACATGAAAACAATACACCAAAGCAGAGATTCAACAAATGAGTGCAAATCAGGCTTTCTGGTATTGTCCTGAACATGAGTTTCAAATGTAGTCGGAATTAGATAAGGCAGTGGTGATGGACTGTGGTACATTGAGGACAAAGAGCAAAGCTCAGTACCATGGGCATTGTTTCTTTGCTTCTAAAAATGAGTTCCCTTTACATTTCTCAATGTTACCTTCTTCAAAATTATAATACCTTATAGTGCTTAAGATAAAAGCAGAGGTGATAAATTCATCAATATAGGGACCATGACTTTTGGAGCAAAGCCTCTCATTCTCACACATTTAAGGTCATAAAAGAAAAATGCTGGAAAATTAAGCTGACTTTAAAAACATCTTTGGACCTCTACTTTTGAAACCATCAACTATATACATAATAGTCCATTCTTGATGCAACATGTTTGAAATAAATTCCTAGATTCTAAGAGCACAGAAATCTAGAAGGGTGAAATCTAAAACAATGTAGGCCTACTAGGTCAGACTAAATAGTTCATCTAATTCAGCATCCTATTTCAGTAATGGCCAGTCAGAGTATTCCATGAAACTCAGAAGGCAACACTGCTGTGTGAAAAGAATAATCTTCCCCACTCCCCACTGTCAGTCCCAGAAACTGGTATTGAGAAAGAAGACCCTATGAGAGGCAAGAATCTCTCCAGAAAACTCCAATTATTGAGCCCTAGGAAGGGGTTAGATTAACCAGATTATATTCATTGTCCATCTACTTTATTGAGCACCTCTTTCACATTCAGGTATGGTGCTGAGACATTCTTGTTAGATGGTAACATCCTAGCAATTTTTTGTCTTTTTCTTTTAGGTAGTTACACTGAGTTTTCATTACACTTACGAATGAGTACATGTGGGTTTTGATTGCACAGTAGTGGAAGTACGTACTGCTAGGGATTATCTTTATACCCCTTCCCTTACTTTCTACTAGTTTTTATTTGTTTTCAATGCCTCCAGCTGGTGCTTATTTGCAAAACTATTTGTTTTATTGCTGTGGGTGCCTATGTATGTTCCAGAGTGGGTGAGTGTAAAACATGTTGATTTTGACAACTCAGTAAGTGATAGATAACGCATGGCCAAGTCAGGCTTTTGACCAGAAATACCGGAAGATCTATTTATCAACCCCAACAAACATTTTCTACTACTCTTGTAATTATACTTACTATCTGGCACACTGCAAAAGTGCCACAGAAAAAAATGTCTACCTGAGCATGTGGTCAAGGACAGCCTTTCCTGTGCTACTGACACTGAGCAGATACTTTTTAAACTCGCTGTTGGTGCCTGCGCATTTTTCAGAGTGCCTGAGTGCCAAATGTGAAGCACTCTGGCTTTGGCTAGGCAGTGAGTAGGCACATTTGGGCAACAGAGGCTACTGGCTGGGGACACTTAGGGGACAACTTCTCATCACACTCCTTTCCCTGAGCACAGCTCCTGGAGTGATGGCATAAGAGAAACAAAGGAGGATGGTAGGAGCTTTGCTTAGATGCTAGAAATCTACTACATTCCAAAAGCTGGTGGCACTGAATAACAAACCACCACCTCATACCAGATCATACCTTTTAATTTTCCCCAGCTGCAGCTTTCTCCCTCTATCTAGAAACATACCGATACATACAAATACCTGCAGAAACCTGAGAACAAATAGATTTAGACTACTTTCAAAGTAGGTCAGTCAGGTGCACCCCAATTTATATAGCAAATAATTGGATACAAACTGGATTGTGTATTAAACCACTAGTTTGAACTATTTTAATGAAAATAAGGCATCTAAAAATTAACTTACCAACTAGATCATCATTTGAATAGTCTTCTGTCTGAACAGGACTTTCTGTAATTCAAAGATTTTTATGAATTTACTGTGGGATACTTCTACATATATGCATTTTGTTTGTTAAGTAAAAGGTAAATTTCACATTTTCTAACCCTAAAACCCTACCTTTCCCCACCAGATCACAAATATATATATAAAACATTTAAACAGTGATGTAGAGATGAAAGTTCCCACACATATATGCTTTATGTGTAATAATTTTCTCACTTAAACATAGTCTTAGTATATTTAAGAATTTGAATCAGCATTAATTTAAGCAGTGCTTTTTATTCTTGACTTTAATACTATACAACATATCATCCACAAAAATATTGATGCATATATCACATAAATATTAGAACAAATATCACTACTCATCTATTTTTGATTATTTCTATTTTATATCTGATCTTCGGTAATATACTGGTCCCATAATTTGAAGAACAACATGATGACTCTGGGAAACTGTATGCTATGGGCCACATAACTGATAGCCTCTTTAGGTAAGGTTGGGGAATCAGGTGTCCATGGATTTGTTAAATCTGAAATCACACCAGTAACCCTTGGCAATGCTGGCTGGAGTACAACAGAGATACTCTGATTCAGGCCTTTAAAAAATGGGAGGCCTATAGTTGTATTTCAATTTCTAGAGTACTTTCTACCAGTGCCATTTTGTTTTATATCGTGAAAGAACCAGAAAAAGCATTATTTCACATACCCTGAAAAACAATTTGGGTACCACAAAAATATGAATATATATAAACCGTGTTAATATTTATATTTCATGTACACACACACACATAATAGTGTTAATAAAGTAATATACAAACCTGTCTTATGAGGTTCAGCAGCTGCAACATCTTCTATATGTTCTCTCTCATCTAATGTGGGCAAGTTGTAGAAATGCATGTTATTTGTATGTGCTTTTCTTTTTAAAATTACTATTATTCTCAATAATATTAACCAAACTGATGAGTTTAACATGGACCACCAAATTTCCTAAACTATGAGCTACAATTTTTTCTTTTTAAAGTTCAGGTTTTCAGAATTTGGTGATAAGAACAGATCTGTAACTATGGATCATCAAGTGATCGTCTGTGAATTTACAGATATGGAACCTATGGCTGAATAGAGCCATGGCCAGAGCACTCTACAGCTATGTAGCCTCTGGCAAGAATCCCACCTCCAATGTACATGCTGAAGTAAACTCAGTGATAAAAAAAATTTGTTACAATGCCACTACTATGTTAAGCAGCAAGGTGAGTGGGTTGCTTTAATTTACAATGGCCAGTTGAAGAACCACAGCTGCAACCTGTTTTTCTGTAATTGAATGTTTAGTTTTTATTAACATTTAGTAGTTAAGCATTGTTCTCTACCTTGTTTTTTTGTCTAAAACTGTAGTGCTGTTCCTTAAACTATATTCAACTAGTATTCAACCAGTGCATTTTCTTTCCCACTTCCTCCCACATTTATTTATTTATTGAAGACTGTAACATCTTTTTTATTAGCTTGCTCAAGAGTTAAGGTCATCAGGAGAGATTCTCCTTTCAGTCCTGCCACCTTCACAAGTGTGTTTGTTGGGGAGAGGGCCTTCTATGTTGCTGCTCCCAGACTCTGGAACTCCACACATAGCAATTTTTATTTATCACAATAAAACTCTCTTTTATTTCAGTAGCTTTGAAGCCAGGACAGTTTCAAGGACCTTTCCTATCTCTTCCTGACAATTTATGAGAGGGAGATAACGTCTCCCTTTTTCTTGACCCAGAGTTATTCGCAAATTGCTTCATACCTCATCCGTACTATTCAGATAAATACTGGCAAATCTCTGTTTATTTGAAGATATTTGTAAAGTCCTAGCTATCTAAATCATCCAGCAGATCTTTCCAGAAGACACAAGGCCCTTTTCCAAAACTGTCTAACAACCAGGTATTTTCAGTGGGATAATGAGTTCTATGAACAGACAGAGTGGCCATGGGGAGCCCCTTCAGCCTGGTTATAGCAAACCAGGCTGAAGGAAAAACAGCCCCACAAATAAAGTATTTCTGCCATACATCAAAGGGGCCATGGACTGCATGGGGAAACTTTTGAAAAAATACAACCTACAAACAATATTCAAGCCCACCACAAAAATACAACAAATGTTAAGGCCAGCAAAGGACAAAAGGGATCCCCTCTCCACTGCAGGAGTATATCGGATACCTTGCCACATGTGGCCACGTATATGTTGAAACCACAAAACGCAGCATCCACACCAGACTCAAAAAACATGAGAGACACTGCAGACTAAAACAATCGGAAAAATTGGCAGTAGCTGAACATGCCCTAAAACAAGCAGGACATGAAATTCTATTTCAAAATACTGAAGTACTGGGCAACACCAGCAATCATTATGTTAGACTGCACAGGGAAGCCACTGAAATTCACAAACACCTGCAGAGCTTCAACAAAAAAGAAGAAAGTTTAAAACTCAACAAAGCCTGGCTCCCAGCACTGAAAAATACAGCCTGCAAAAGGTCAACAAACTCTACCCAGCCACAAGGACTGGTGATCACTGCACACAAAAGACCATCTAACGACACCCATCAATCACCGTGACAGATCATGTCTCCCCCTTATCACAACAATACACCCACAACAAAAAACATGCTAATCACCATAATCACCCAATCTGAAAAGGACAAAAGCTGATTCCACAACTATAAATACTCAACCATTCAAGCAACCTGCACCAGAGTACAGACAGAGTTCTGACTCTTGTCCTCTGAAGATACCGGCCACAGAGACTGGCAAAATGTTAGGAAGAAAAGCCTTAAGAACACGGCCAAACAACCTGGAAAACCCACAACAACCACTATCTAAATACCTTGAGAGCATGCAAGAAGATGCTGGATGTAGATAATCTGATTTGATCAACATGTAAAAAATCAGCATACTGTTTATTATTTACAATAACTCAGTCTTCTGCAATGAAATTTCTTTGCAGTATGTATGCTGTACACATTATCAATAGGTAAAAATGCTCACATGCAGTATTAATCAAAACTGTCCTAACAAATATTACCAATTAGTTATTTCATTTGCATTGTATTTACCACCTCAAATAATATAAGCATACAAACCTGACTCAACATGTTCGGTAAAAGTATATGGAGCATCTGCTGTATCTAGAGAAAAGATAATATTTACAAAATAACTAGAATTATATGCTTTGGTGTGGGTAGCAATCAGATTAAACTATGACTAATTTAGTGAAATGATGCTTATTTCAAGACTGGTTTCAGAAGATTATAAGGCAAACTATTTTCCATCTCATTTCAATGATGCTATTTGCATTTCGCACAAAACACCCAATAGTGTGCTCTCACTGTGAGAAAGTTCTACTCTAATACTTGTCTGATGAATTTAAGAGGAACAAAAGGAATAACTAATCTAATATACACACATGTGACTTTATTTTATTTTTAAAGCAAGGTTACCATGTTTTTGATACCCTCCATTTAAAAGTGGCTTAAAAATACAGCCTGAGACAGAAGGTATTTTATAGTTCTCATGTCAGACAATGTAAATAAAGATCCTTTAAAACATGACAATAAACAGTATAGAAAGCAATATTAGGAAACTGTGAAGTGTGCAGTGATCATCATATTTGATGCCTCTATAATGATCATCACATGTGAACCCTGTTTCACGTCTGTGTACAGTGGTGCCTTGACTTACGAACGCCTTGACCTACAAACATTTTGAGTTACGAGCAGCTCCGTTCATATAATTTTGCTTTGACTTGCGAATGGAGCTTTGACTTGCGGATGGAGCTTTGACTTACGAACACAAAAAGGCAGGGGGAAAGGGTGGGGAATTCAAATATCTAACTGTAGGTGGTGACGAGGCTGCTTCTTTGTAGCTCTTTCGCCCCAGCAGTTAAGAGTGTGTGATGCGAGGAGGCTGCCTACTAAGGTAAGGTGCTGCTTTATACTTTTTAAAGACTATTCTGGGTATTTTTACAGTGTGGTTTTCAGCTGGGGGGTGTTATGTTTCTGTGCTGTGATGGGTCTTTGGGGGAGGTTGTTTGTTTTTTGGTTCCCCCCCCCCATTTCCGATTGGTGAGTTGGTTGCTTTTTGGGGTGTTTTTCCCATTTCTGATGGGTCTTGGGGGTTGTTTGCTTTTGGGGGGTTACCCCATTTTTGACGTGTCTTGCATGCTTCCCTTGCTTTTTTGTTTCATTCTCTTTGCATTTCTGACCTGCTCCGTTTCTTTTCTATGCTTTTGCAATGGTTCCTGCATGCTTGCCTTGCTTTCTTGCTTCCTTCTCTTTGCATTTATCTGCTCCATTTGTTTTCTGTGCTTTTGCAATGGTTCCTGCATACTTCCCTTGCAAATCAGATAAGTTTTTGCAAGTGTCTGTGCTGGCTTGGTTTAAAATGTGTTGGTGTAAAATGTGTGGGTTTAAAATGTGTAGGCTTAGCATGTGTTTTAGAGTCCAAACTCTGTCCCTCCCCCATTGTCTTCTCTCTCTTTCTGTCTCCCTCCTTTCCTGCCCTTTTTAAAGCCTAAGTCATTTTAGGTTAAAAAAAATCCTTCCCTAGTGGTAGAAGACGGATTAACCGGTTTTGCATTAGTTCCTATGGAAACTAATGCTTTGACTTACAAACCATGCCTTGACATAAGAACAAAAACAGCCGGAACGAATTAATCGGGTTTCAGAGCATTCCTATGGGAAATGCTGATTTGACTTATGAAGATTTTGACTTATGAACACCATTCCGGAATGGATTAAGTTCATAAGTCAAGGCACCACTGTACCTACAGAGAAGTGATGAGTAACTCTGGTGGGACTGTGGTCCAAACATTCATCCTTTGCACATCTCAGGATCTGCACAGTGCCTGGAAATGAGTAAGAATCTAAACATTCAAAAAAGGTGACCGGACACTGGTTATTTTTAGTTTTGAGAAGGCTTTCTAGGTGGGGTGGGGCAAGAATCTCCCAATACAGAACCTCCTGTTCTTCCAAAATGCCTTCAGAAGCATGAAAATATATCCTTACAGAAATACTTTCATTTGTTGTGTGGATCCTGGGAGAAGGTTTTTAAAAAGTGTCTTTTTACCTTGTATATGTTCATCATAATATTCAGTTAAAGGTTCTTCATCTGAAAAGAGGACAACATTAAAATGTAATTTACCAAAAAATATTGGCGCAGGCTTCCCAGACTAAGGAAGAAAGGAAATCAGCTCCTATTCTATATAAATACAGTGGGGTCTCTACTTAAGAACTTAATCCGTATTGGAAGGTGGTTCTCAAGTTGAAAAGTTCTTATGTTGAATCTGCATTTCCCATAGGAATGCATTGAAAACCATTTAATCCGTATCTGCTCTTTTCGGTCCATAGAAACTACAGTGGAACCTCTACTTAAGAACTTAATCCGTTTTGGAATGGTGTTCTTAAGTTGAAACGTTCTTAAGTTGAAGCAAAATTTCCCATAGGAATGGACTGAAAACCAATTAATCCGTTCTGACTGTTTTTTTGTTATGTAGAGGTGCGTTCGTACATTCGTACAAAGCTGGTTAATACGTACTCTACCACTAGGGGGAGAA